CTGTATTTCTGTTTCAATCCAGGTAAGTTTTACGTATCACCATGATTTGCGCTATATAGCCCTATGATTCCGATTAAAGGCTGTATTTCTGTTTCAATCCAGGTAAGTTTTACGTATCACCATGATTTGCGCTATATAGCCCTATGATTCCGATTAAAGGCTGTATTTCTGTTTCAATCCAGGTAAGTTTTACGTATCACCGTGATTTGCGCTATATAGCCCTTTGATTCCGATTAAAGGCTGTATTTCTGTTTCAATCCAGGTAAGTTTTACGTATCACCATGATTTGCGCTATATAGCCCTATGATTCCGATTAAAGGCTGTATTTCTGTTTCAATCCAGGTAAGTTTTACGTATCACCGTGATTTGCGCTATATAGCCCTTTGATTCCGATTAAAGGCTGTATTTCTGTTTCAATCCAGGTAAGTTTTACGTAACACCGTGATTTGCGCTATATAGCCCTTTGATTCCGATTAAAGGCTGTATTTCTGTTTCAATCCAGGTAAGTTTTACGTATCACCGTGATTTGCGCTATATAGCCCTTTGATTCCGATTAAAGGCTGTATTTCTGTTTCAATCCAGGTAAGTTTTACGTATCACCATGATTTGCGCTATATAGCCCTATGATTCCGATTAAAGGCTGTATTTCTGTTTCAATCCAGGTAAGTTTTACGTATCACCGTGATTTGCGCTATATAGCCCTTTGATTCCGATTAAAGGCTGTATTTCTGTTTCAATCCAGGTAAGTTTTACGTATCACCATGATTTGCGCTATATAGCCCTATGATTCCGATTAAAGGCTGTATTTCTGTTTCAATCCAGGTAAGTTTTACGTATCACCGTGATTTGCGCTATATAGCCCTTTGATTCCGATTAAAGGCTGTATTTCTGTTTCAATCCAGGTAAGTTTTACGTATCACCGTGATTTGCGCTATATAGCCCTTTGATTCCGATTAAAGGCTGTATTTCTGTTTCAATCCAGGTAAGTTTTACGTATCACCATGATTTGCGCTATATAGCCCTATGATTCCGATTAAAGGCTGTATTTCTGTTTCAATCCAGGTAAGTTTTACGTATCACCGTGATTTGCGCTATATAGCCCTTTGATTCCGATTAAAGGCTGTATTTCTGTTTCAATCCAGGTAAGTTTTACGTATCACCGTGATTTGCGCTATATAGCCCTTTGATTCCGATTAAAGGCTGTATTTCTGTTTCAATCCAGGTAAGTTTTACGTATCACCGTGATTTGCGCTATATAGCCCTTTGATTCCGATTAAAGGCTGTATTTCTGTTTCAATCCAGGTAAGTTTTACGTATCACCGTGATTTGCGCTATATAGCCCTTTGATTCCGATTAAAGGCTCTATTTCTGTTTCAATCCAGGTAAGTTTTACGTATCACCGTGATTTGCGCTATATAGCCCTTTGATTCCGATTAAAGGCTGTATTTCTGTTTCAATCCAGGTAAGTTTTACGTATCACCGTGATTTGCGCTATATAGCCCTTTGATTCCGATTAAAGGCTGTATTTCTGTTTCAATCCAGGTAAGTTTTACGTATCACCATGATTTGCGCTATATAGCCCTATGATTCCGATTAAAGGCTGTATTTCTGTTTCAATCCAGGTAAGTTTTACGTATCACCATGATTTGCGCTATATAGCCCTATGATTCCGATTAAAGGCTGTATTTCTGTTTCAATCCAGGTAAGTTTTACGTATCACCATGATTTGCGCTATATAGCCCTATGATTCCGATTAAAGGCTGTATTTCTGTTTCAATCCAGGTAAGTTTTACGTATCACCATGATTTGCGCTATATAGCCCTATGATTCCGATTAAAGGCTGTATTTCTGTTTCAATCCAGGTAAGTTTTACGTATCACCGTGATTTGCGCTATATAGCCCTATGATTCCGATTAAAGGCTGTATTTCTGTTTCCACCCAAGAACAACCAACAAAGCATTTTTTTTTCATTTGAGAATTTTATCTCCTAGATGGCTTCAGTGTTTCTTTCAGATTTTTTTCTACGAAAGGGGGGGGGGGGTGGCACTTGTAACTTTCGAGGGGGGGGGGGGTGCGGACTACATTTTTCGACGGGGGGGGGGGTGGCGGGCACTGGTAAAAAGTATATATTTTCTAAATAAACTCTTTCTTTCGGGTGGATGGGGGGGGGGGGGGGGGTGGAGGAGGGCGGTAGACATTCTTCGTGGAGGTGGGGGGGGGGGGGGGGACGACTAAAACTCTGAAACACGTTTTCATCCTTCGTCACACAATCGTCACAAAATTCCAAAAATCCTCCTCCCTCCCCTCTATTCCCTTTTGAGTGTGACACCGTTAATGGACAACCCCTTTAACGAATCAGTCTAACAATATTCTATTCTCCTTGGGGTTAATTGGTGCTTCCTGACAACAAGGACCAATCGCAGCCGATCGACATAAGAACCGAGCAGCAGTAAAAAGATGGATCGGCGACACCGTCGGCGCTCACTTTTCCGCTCCGTGACGTCACGACCAGCCCCCTCTGATTGACGCGAACTTCGCCCACGGTTCCCCCCACTTCACCAAAATGGCCTCCGGTCAATCCATTTACCGTTAAAAAGAGAAAGAGTTCCAAACGATGCTGAGTAAGAGATCAAGAACTAGCAGACGACAAATTGAGGTGTTCCGGGGAGCTTTTCTGTACAGGAAATAAAAAAAATAAGTTGGGGTTGAAGAGAAATAAAAAAAAAGTTGAACAAATGAGTTGGTAGTAGTGTCCCTTGGGGTGACGTCACGGTCGATCGGGCCGGCTAATTGATTTCGTGACAAGAAAACCAGCAACACATCAGAGATGGGTGTGTTCTCATTAACCGCTGGTGTAACACAGGCGAGCATTGATCATGTTGACACTCCTGGCCAGTGAGAGAAGGGGGGGGGGGGGGAAATAGGTTTTTACCCATAGGTAGGAATAGTATTGTACTAAATTACTTTTTGCAGTGGCGGATTAAAAATGGCGAGGGGGGGAGGGAGGGCAGCCAGTCGCCTCTGTATTTATCTGACCACAAACATGTTTTACCCATTACAGATTTCAGTTTTTTATCTTTTAGTTACATGAACCCCAGTTTAAGTTGCAGCACGTTTTATCCAATGAGATCCAGAGGCGTAGCGACCCTTCCCGACGCCCGGGACAAACTTTCAATTTGGCGTCCCCCCTCCCAGGGACAAACTTTTAATTTGGCGCCCCCTCCCCTCATATATTTTTTTTTATATTTATAATGCCAAACTGTAGCTAAAATGAGCTTTTAATTTTTTTTCAACCCATTTTGGCGCCCCCTAGGGTCGGTGCCCAGGGACATATGTACCCCCCCCCCCCCTCGCTAAGCCTCTGATGAGATCAGTCGGTGATTACGTCAATAAAAGTGGTATAATCTCAAGATTAGAAGTTTCCATTTCCCGCCACAGGAATGGCCAAAATAACATTTGGAGATGGCCTTTGACTGAAGGATGACGGCCATGGACTTTCAGTTTGTGTATCTTTCAAGCAAATTTTAGTAGTACATATATTTATTTATTTTTGTGTGTGTGTGCGCGAATGTGTCCTCGTGCGCCTTATTCCGTTGCGCATTTTCTAGTCCATTACAATAAAAAGCAGCATAGTGATATAAAACAAGATATAAGTAATCTCCTTGTTTTTGTTTTTATTTTTTTATTTTTAGAAGCAGTTGCTGCTAACACAGTTTCGACTACTAGCCCGAAAGTCTCGCATTCGGATCGCGGGCTCAAGTCTGTAGGACGTATTTGAGTCCACCCAGCTCTGATGGGTATCTGACTCATGTTGGGGAAACATAGCCGGATGGGCATAGTGCTGACGACACTCCTCAGTTCACAGGAAACAGATGAACTCTACTACATCTGCTCCGTGTATATTGGACACGAACGGGAAAAGATAATGATGACTGCTATCCCATAGCTACATTTTTCGATTGATATTCATGCTTTGAGTCTGAACAATAGATATCATATTTTTCAGAAAGATGACATGAGTTAAAAACAGAGTTTCTTCCAGGCATCTCTTCGGAGGGGCGAAGCCCCCCCCCCCCCCCCCGAAAAAATTCTACCGCCCCCCGAACGAAATGAAATTTGTATAATTTATATAGAAAATATATACTTTTAACAGTGTCCGCCCCATCGAAGAAAGTCTACCGCCCCCCCCCCCCCGAAAATTTCAAGTGCCCCCCCCCCCCCTGGAGAAAAATGTCTGGAAGAAACACTGGTTAAAAATATAGTCATCATGTGTCGCCCCTCTATAGTTTTTACCTCAGTTTAAAGCTGATCCATTCATAGACAAACTCGAGGCCATTACTGGAAGCTTAATGTGCAATAAGACTAAATATACATAGATAAGTTTATATTTTCATCCAACATTGTGTTATATTTTGCATTAATGTTTTATAATGTTGTGTACTAAACTGCTGTATATTAAGTTTAACTGTTCCTATTGGCATGGTAGACAAAGAAGAAGTTGGTGCCTTATGAAGATACGTAATTAAAACGTCAATCAACTATTTATATTACTCAGATTTTCGTAACTACCTTTTTTTTAGCGAACTACGGGCTAACCATTTAGGAAATTTATGTGCTGTCGTTCTGGGATTTAAGTAAGCTTGAATGTTTACAAAAATAAATAATTTAATAACTGGGTTCAATAGCTGGCATCTGAACCACACTGGTCTTGTTGTCAATAGCCTACACGATTCTAAGAAAGTAGTTTTTTTTTGTTGTTTTTTTTTATATTCATTCACATTTCTGAAATTGTAATTGTAAACTCAAAGCGGTAACAACAGCACTGTTACCTACAGCTGTAACTTAACATAGACAACTTTTATTTATGCGACCCAAGAGGTGTGTTCAAAGACCCCCCTCCCCCCAGCCGCCACCACCCCCTCCTACGCCACTGGCCGTGTTGTCAAACGTTGTGTTACGTGTCTATTGAACACAAACACCACATCGCTTCAAGCTATACAACTGGTAGTTTGGCGATTGCTAGTTTTCGATTGGTAAACAAATCAACATGGCGGCGGATGTAGGCTACTCGCCAGCAGACGATCGATGCTACCCTTGTACGGGCAAGTTTTGTTCGGTCAAAAAAAAAGTTTTATTTTTTTAAGTTGTAAAAACAAGTTTTGTTATATATATATATATATATATATATATATATATATATATATATATATATATATATATATATATATATATATATATATATATATATATATATATATATAGGCTATGTAGATAAGAGATTTCCTTAGGAATGCCCTATAGTCTTCGGCTATAGCATCAGACAATAATATGTAAACAATTCAAGTAAAGGATGGGTGGGGAAGAGGGTGGTCACTTTTTAGAGAACGTCATACACATTAGGCGGAGATGAGCTCCTCACCTTGATATTGATGTGTCAGTGTGAGTAGCGGGGGGGGGGGAGAGGAGATAGCGTGTTTGTGCGCGGGTGAATGTGAGTGTACATGAGTTTTTATTTTTTTTAAAGATCGAATCAATGCGCAACTAAAAAAAATTACTCCAAGCTTGGCCGAAAACCACTAGAATACTAACCAGAAAGTCTTGAGTTCGAATCCGGGTCCATGGAACGTCCCTAAGTCCACCCAGCTCTGATGGGTACATATCTCAAGTATTTAAAGTAAAGGCGTCTTGGCAATTTCTTCACAAGTGAATGCCACTGAAACAGGTGAACTCTACTTCACTTGCCCCATGTAGGATCAGGTTCAAAAAGGGAACTTTATTTTGGCCTAAAACGTGATGAAACATTGACTGGTGTAAACATGAGCCTCTAAACTCTAAACTTTCATCTAATAACTTAGTCCCATTAGGTCTGCATGTATCTTACATGTATTTGATTAACAACATTAGCTCTACTACGATTTACAATACAAATCCGTACATCAGAGCCAGAAAAATGCGCATACTGAAAATTGAACAACGAAAAACTGCTAATGCAGAAAAAATACGCAAATATAAACTATACTAAGACACTTCAATTTTGTAATATTTCGTGGAAATGTGTTTAATTAAGCTACATATGCATGTGGTCGTTCTTTGTGAATGTCTATAAATGCTCGCTTTAAGAAAACAAAAATCCCTTCGCGTATTTTTTTTTTTTGCGCAGTTGTCCGTTACGCATCTTTCCAGTCACCGAGCTAAACATGTTTGAAAAATCGTCTTTATAGATACCTTTCTTCTGAATGTGGTCTCCTTTATGTCATGCTTTCTTCATTTGTTTTGCCTGTTTTATATAAATAAAAATAAAGACCAAAGCAGTCTATGGACACGACAGGCTCTGTATTTAAAAACAAAACTTTATAATGTATGAAGTACAGAGTTTTGTTTTTTCTTTGCCAGCTTTATTAATTTCTTAAACTTTGGTCTGGTTTTCTTGGCAAAAATTAGGAAAGCAAATCGTGAAAAGAAGGGAGGTAACTTTTAAAAATATAGGGAAATAGTTGTCGTTCTTTTCCTGTGGTTAGCAATCTAACAAAAACACCTTTACGTAAACTTAAGGGGCTTGAAATGATTATTTTTTTCTTATTTAGGAAGAGTTATTTTCAGCGTTTAATGTTTTTTATTTTTAGCTTTCTGGTTTGTTATTTCGTTAAACCCGCTTCTCATCGTTTACGCAGGCAAAGGGTTGCAATACAAATCTCATCTTTTGTAAATCTGATTGTAGAAAAAAAAACAATGTCCCAGTATAGGGCTGGTAAGTAGGTCACCAACCATCTCTACGGCTCAATAAAACCTAAATGAGCCATATAACTGGTTGGTGACCTACTTACCAGCCCTATTGGGTAATATCTGCTGGTAATGTGAAAACACGGAAGCAGCATTCAAATTTCAGGTCTTTAAATAATTACTTTAAAAAGTATTGTTAACCACTGTTGACTTAGCAAACATTCAATACAATATATATATATATATATATATATATATATATATATATATATATATATATATATATACTTACATATATTATACTTATATATACATGCTACATATATAGCCTATATATATATATATATATATATATATATATATATATATATATATATATATATATATATATATATATATATATATATATATATATATATATATATTGCTGTAGAAACTTTCACGAAGTTTATGTGAACCCAAACTCTGATCGAGTGGTAGAGCGCTCCAATGCTGACCTGAAAGTTTTGAGTTCGACTCACGAAATCGGGCCGAAACTGAGTCCAAACAACATCCATGGGCATCAGACTCGTGTTGGTAAGAGTAAGTAAAGCAACAGTTATGTTGGCCATAGTGCTGACCAAACCCTTTAATGTTAAATAAACAGACTAGCTCTGGTTTATCTGATCTGTAGGCTGTTAGGTCTAATTATTTTAACACACATATACACGCAAACACACACACACACACACACACACAAACAAACAACAAACTACTAACACAAATGTTAAAATACGCAGTTACGATTGAACTCAAGAATTAAATCGCAGAAGTGAAGAGTTTAAAAAACACGTGTAGGTTTCTAATTTACAAGAGTGTAGTTTATTTTCTGTTGGCATATTTAAAGAGTTCTACACGGGTTTCTCGTAGTGCCTTTTATAAATGTATCACTACCTCTGTAATTGTCCTTCAGTTGGAACAGCAGTTGTTCTTTTTTTTTAAATTATTATTTTTAGACATCTCTTTCACATAAATAATAGAATATCTCACAACAGTTAGGCTGGGTAAATCTAATTGAGAAATCTATACCCTAGCGCTGACGACCGGGAGAAATGTGACGCGTTGTCTAGACAAGTCTAACGTTGGCCTTTACATTGTGCTGAATCGTTGGTAGTTATCTTAGTAGATGTGTGTAGTTAAATGTTGGTCACAATGTATGTGTGTTAGAAATGTTGGTTACAATAAGTGATAGAAACGTTGGTTAAAATATGTGGTAGAAATGTTGGTTAAAATATGTAATAGACATATTGGTTGCAATATGTGGAAGAAATGTTGGTTACAATCAATATGTTGTAGAAATATTGTTTTAATATGTGGTGAATTAGCTGTTAGCAATACGTTCTAGTTTAGTTCAGCGTTTAGTTAATAGTAGTAATGTTTCTTTAAACAGTGTTTGCAAGGGTAACAGCCACTCAAAAGTTTCCACGCATTCCTCACGCTTAAGAGAGTTAAGACTTTTTAATTTTAAACAGTTTGAAAGTAGCAAGGGACTTAAGCTAACAAAATTAAAACCATTAGCTTTTGGTCGTAGCCTCCCCTGTTTAAAAAAACAAAAACAAAAAGGTGTAGCCTAACTTAACTAGAAAGTCTAAAGATACAGGTTTAAAATACACAATTTAAGTGCTATCGAGACAAATTCTTATACAGCATCGTTATCTAGTTTAATGGACACCAGCGAGAAAAGTCTCAAAGGTATTTGAGAGGTGTATAAATTCATTTAAAAATCATGCACAGCGTAGTTACAATTAATATGGTTATAAAATCCTGTCTATCTGTTTTTTCTCGGACTTTACTAAAGATTGGATGTATTTGATGTTTATAATATTTTCGGTAACTAAATAAAAATTTTAAAAAAAGCAAAAACAATTTGGTTTTCACGTGTAATGGCGACATAAACAATGGCATCCTGCTATTGGATAGGCCGCCATTGATTTTATTGTACACATTGTAAGCTAAAAATAGAAAACTAGGTCATGGGGTTTTAAATTTGCATTGTAATTTAAAAACTTGATCTGCAAAGTTTTGTAAACAAATAGTTATCGATCACTAAGTTACTGTACAGCCAATCAATATTTGTCTTACGAAAGTGAAACATCCGGTTATAACTTAGGCTTGATGAAAATAAATAGAAATGTAGCCTTAAACTCAACAAATTATTTTCAAGTTCTCTGGATTTGCAACTTTTATAACATTTATTCTAAAAATATAAAATTTCTAAATTAATTTTAGGCTTAGGTTTTTTTTTTATTTTTTTTTTTACGGTCTAAATCTAAAAAGCACGTTTTTATTCCATGTCAACAACATTGGGGACGGAATCTCGTCAACTCGCTCGCCTCCATTGGAGTACATTGATGTGTATTTTGTTTTATATAGATCTAAAGTATCATAAAAATTAAAAAGTTTAACTTTTTAAGTTTAATTTTTGTTGACAACAAGCAAGGGAAGTCACTATGAATTCAAAATGGCATCTTCCACTGCAGTCGTAGTCAGCGCATCGCTGGATCGTAAAACGTATTCTCAGACAACAGGTACCTTTTATATATATATAAAAAAGCTTAGTCTAAAAATGGCTTTCGATCTAGATCTAGATCTAGTTCCCATCCTCCTAATTTGAAATATAATAATACTGTCATCCACATTTTAAGGCTAGCTACTAGATCTAGCTACTGTAGCTAGCTGCTAGAGGACTAAACTAGACTTTATTTATTATTACATATATTACATAATATTAATTACAGGGCTAGCTACCCTATTCCCTATCATACTTAACTATAACTTAACTAACTATACTATGCTATACTATATATTTATATAATATTCTTTAACTTGTTACTTTACTTTAACAGACTAAAAAACTAAAGTTCACTAAATGCTGGGTGTCACTGTCAGACTTACACTTTTACTTTCGAAGTGTCTACTCGGAATAAGATTTTTCGGCAAAAGATAGTTCTGCGCATGCGCAGTGACCTATGGCTAGGGTTAGGGCTAGAATGAGGGTTAGGGGTAGGATTAGGGATAGGGTTAGGGATAGGATTAGGGCTAGGGTTAGGGATAGGATTAGGGCTAGGGTTAGGGATAGGATTAGGGATAGGGTTAAGGATAGGATTAGGGTTGGTATTAGGGTTCTGCGGTTGTAAACACACGCATGCGCAGTACCATCGAAAACATCGCCGCTAAGTCGTAGTTTCTCTCCATTGCGCATTTAAATAATTTTGACTTTAACCTGTAGACACTTTGTCACTTGTTTTCTACTCACTGTTCTGACTATCTGTACTAATTTAGTACTAGAATCTAGATTTAGTAATTAAGTCAAATCTAGACTACCCTGTAGTTAGCTTAGGTCATCACATTTGAAAACAAAAGTCTAGTCTCTACTTAAATTAAGCTAAGTATACATTTAAAATATCTCTGTTGTTTTTTTTTACCTCTTATTTTTCTGAATTTTCAAACTTGATGACTGAGATCTTCTTCTGTAATTTAGATTTTTTTTTTTAACTTTTAAATTATTTCTACATAGGTACAAGTAAAGTAAGAAGAACAGCTCATCAGATTCCTGATGAAATATTGAAAGATGTTGAAATTAATAATGCTATTAAACAGGTAGAAGCCATTTGGGTTTTTTCATAATGAAATATTTAACCAATATTTAAAGTTCTAAAAGGGCTATTTATTTTTGTTGAAGTCTTACAAGTTTATTTTAGTTGCCAGATAACTACAATTTTGAAATACACAAAACAATATGGAAAGTTCGTCTTAATGGAGCAAAACGAGTGGCTCTGCAGTTCCCTGAGGGGCTTCTGATTTATGCGTGTGTTATAGCAGATATTATAGAAAAGTAAGTCAAAATTATTAAGTTAAGATAAAAAATCTAGGTTGTGTTACTACCCCAGATTTTTCAGAAATAGTTATACTATATTCCTCAACTTCAGACACATTCTATATATATTAATATTTTCTCCAAAATGTTTCTTCAGAAACTAAAATGTTATTGCTTTTTTTTAATATTGATATTCAATCTTCAAAGAGTATTAATATCACCAGTGTGAAAACATTATAATAACCTCTAGATTCAATGTATTCCTTAGTTATATATGATATGTAACATCATACCTATTTAAACTTGAAGATTCAATAAAATAATGATTGTATGTTTGAAGTTTCACAGATGCAGATACAGTGATAATGGGAGATGTAACATATGGAGCCTGCTGTGTTGATGATTTCACAGCTAAAGCCCTGGGAGCTGATTTATTGGTGCACTATGGCCACAGTTGTCTAAGTATGTAGTCTTGTTACTTCATCTAAGCACAGCAGTTTTTTTGTAAACATATTTAGTTTCACCATTACATTCATCTAAATTTTACCTTTAGTCTGCTGAATTACATTTTATTATATTCTTCCTTATAATTTGTTTAATTTATTATTTTAACTACTTAGTACAACTTGAAACCTGATGATGTTAACTTGTGTTATTATTATTTCCCTTAGTTCCCATAGACCAGACAGAGGGCATTCAGATGTTATATGTCTTTGTTGACATTAAAATTGACACAATGCATTTTATTGAAACCCTCAAACTGAACTTTGAACCAGGAAGCAGACTAGCCCTGGTCAGCACCATACAGTTTGTCGCTGCTCTGCAGGTGAGTTTGTTATCTCCCCTGCCTGTGATTTAGTTATCTCCCCTGCATATGAGTTTTTCAAACAACAGTAGGTGAGTTAGCTACCTGCCCTTGTTATTGTTTATAATTTGCTCTGCATGTGTATATGTTATCTCCCCGGCATATGAGGTTTTTGCTACCCTGTAGCTACCTCCACTAATTGTTCACCATTTGCTCTGTGGATGTGTTTGTTATCTCCCCTGTGTGAATTGGTTATCTCCCCTGCAAATGAGATGGTTTTTTTCTCTCCTTGTTCCTGTTTGTGATTTCTTAAGTATACCAGCTAAGTACATCTTGCCACATGTATGTAAAAATTCTCCCTATTTGAACAGAGCGCTAGACAACAGCTGAGTCCAGAGTACACAGTTATCACTCCCCAGAGTAAGCCCCTCTCACCTGGGGAGGTTCTAGGCTGTACATCACCAAAGCTCTCGGACACTGACGTCATTGTGTAAGTTAGAATTCCTTATGCTGCTGTTTGTATGTGGCAGCAACTGGTGGTAGAGAACTAGACTGCTAACCTGAAAGTCTTGAGTTCAAATCCTGGTTCAAGTCAGTAGAACATCCCTGAGTCCACCCTGGGCATAGTGCTGACCACACTATCTTCTTGAATGCCGAGGCCATTGAAACAGATAAACTCTACTTCATCTGCTCAATGTGTCTTGGGCTCAAATGGGAAATGATGTATGACTAAAAAGTACCCTCTTGATCTATGACAATGATGTAACTGACCAAAAAATAGAAAGACAGTCCTCCACTGGCATTTGGAAGTAGCTGCAACTTGAAGATAAAGAAATTTAGAGACAGCTGTCCACTGGCATTTGTTAGTGGCACTGATTTAAGCAATCAACAAACAAATTGGAACACCATTGTCCACTGTAATCTGTGGCTTATCATTCTTAACAAATAAACCAACATTGTAGTAAGTATCCCTGTTTCATGTGTCAAGTTTATTTGTTTACCTTACTTAACAGTTTATTTGTTTACCTTACTTAACAGATACTTAGGAGATGGAAGATTTCATCTTGAGTCTATAATGATACACAACCCTGTTATTCCAGCATACAGGTATAGAAAAAAATAAAATAATTTTTTTTTAATTTATAATTAGTATTATTTCTATTCTGTATACCTGAAGAGTTTTGTTTTCATTTATCAAACTAGTATTGATTTCATGATAATATGCCTGTTTTTATAACCAAGATATTTTTTGACTGCTAGATATGACCCATACAACAAAGCCTTTACCAGAGAGTACTATGACACACCCAAAATGCACCAGATTAGACAGGATGCCATTGCAGTTGCCAGTGCAGCAAAAACCATTGGAATTATATTGGGGACCTTGGGTCGACAAGGGTCACCCAAGGTTATGGAGGTGATTTTTTTTTTCATTTAATTTATTCATATTTTAAGTTATAGATTTATAACTGGGGCTATTTTTAGTTGTGAATCTTTTTCTAGTGTTTACACTTGCAGCATCTATACTATAAACATCTAGAAAAATAAACTTCACTTCAAGTTCATTTTATCAGAACATGTATAAGGTTGGGGGCCTACTCACTTATTCCGATGGTTTGTCTAGACATGTATAGTATACATGTCGCAAGTGTAATCATGGTGTTAAAGAGTAACAATTGCAATATATATTGAAGCAAGTAGAAGAAATCTTAGTTTTTTTATACATACATTTATATAATTTAAGTTGCTCAAGCACAACGTGAGTGCTTATTTTATTTACTTGTATATATTCCATATAACAGTGTTCAGATTTTATATTGCCTGTAATTTTCTACACAGAAACTGAAAACTCAAATCAAAGCTTCAGGTCGAGATTATATAATTGTATTGTTGTCAGAAATATTCCCTGATAAACTCAAACTAATGAGTGATGTTGATGCGTAAGTACATTCTTATGCTTAGTTATTTGCTTCTATTCTTTTATTTTCCTGCTTTTAATACTGTAACTTTTAATACTGGGATTGATTTTTTTAAATTTCACTTCTAGTAGTCTTTTTCCTTTGTGAAAATACTAGATGTATACCCTAGAACTATTCCCGGTAAAATGTACCTCATATGTTTATATTGGTTGAAAAAATAGTTTCCTGTATTACAGATGGGTACAGGTTGCTTGTCCAAGATTGTCCATAGATTGGGGTGCTGCTTTTGACAAGCCCCTGCTTACACCTTATGAAGTAAGTCTTAACTATATAATCCTTAAGGAATATAACTTTACACAATACACAATTAATTTTAAAGATCGGTCAATAAAACATGGCATTTCAGAGAATAGTTGACCATATTTATTATTTTATTTACTTTGATCTTTGTCAATGCATTTCTTTTTTTAAATAATTTTCAAATTACATTGTATGTTGCTTTTTTTTCTGTTAATTTAACTTATATTTATAAACGAAAGTTTGCAAACATTACAGTACAGTCAAAATTTTAAATAGATGTGTAATTTACTGTAATGGAAATAATTTTAAATGTTATTTTAGTACAATTTCCTTTAGACTGAAGAAACTTTCTGGACTTAATTTGTTCTAGTTTTAAGCCTTATATTGTTTCAGCTGAATGTCGCCCTCAAGGTTACACCATGGCAGTCTACATATCCTATGGATTATTATGCCAATGACAGTTTAGGACCTTGGACTGTAAACAATGCGGCAAACAAACAACCAATGGTGAGAAAACAAAGGGTCAAGCCTGGGGGTGACAACTGCTGCCAACAGACTGACAGTGTCACACAGTCATGTCATGTCGCAGGGACGTGACGTCTGAGTGTTTGTGTTGTGTATGGTTACATGATATGTAGTTTATATTGAAACTGAACAATTTGGGAAGTTTGAAATTAAAAGCATCTGGTTATGTCTGAAAGAAATTATTTTGTTTCTTAAATTTATCTAAATTGAGAGCCTCAAGATCTGTCATACTGCTTATTTATTTGACTTGCTGATTTCAACTCCACATGCAACAATAAAAATATAGTTTATTAATGATAAAACATTTCGTTTACTTTAAAATTTATTTATTTTGTATTTTCTTAATTCGGGTTATCACAGCTTCAATTAGTAAAAGACTAGCAGTACACAACAACAATTCATTGTTTTATTTGTTACACCCCATACCATTATTCCAATCCACCATTTTATCCCTCACTAATTTGGCTGCACCAGCTGCGGAAGCCACAGCATCGCTTTCTTTCAAGTCAACCAACACACTGAGCTCTCCAGGCACTGTGTATAGCTCTATCAGTCTCTCTTTCACCACTGGGTTGTTGACAGCCACGGAGCCTGAAAGCAGCAGGCGCTGAATGCCTCTGTCAAGTAGATATTTAGCTGGGACCATGCAGTGTAAGTGGCTGACAATGCCCTGGCAGGTTGCCCTGAAGATGGCGCCGATGTTTGAAAAGTTGATGGAGTTGATGCCTGAGATGTGTCCAGTAGATGCTGGGTCGTGGCGTTCTCCGAAAAATACAGGAGAAAAGGTCAAAGTGTCAGTGCTGTTAGCATTCTGTGATAATTTTAACAATTTTTGTAGAAGTAAAGATGGAGGAATATCAAAACCTGTTTCTGAAAGAAGAAAAATATATTTCTTAATCTCAGATGAATATAATTGACTTTGAACTAAATGATATTATCAAATCGTCTAATTCAGAATTATTTTAGTCAGTATACTGAGTATATAGTGGGGCATTGTTTGTGAGTATCCACGCTTATAAAATACTAAGAATCACTGCTACAAATCGTGCTTTGTAAATTTTTCTGCCATTTTCAAACAAAAAAAAAAAGATCAGTTTGATTACTAGCTCAATATCAATGAACTAAAATTTTGAAAAGCAGTGTTTTGAGCGATGCCAGACATATATCCCTAACAGTTGAAACGCAAACCATTTCACTGTATATAGTTTTAGAGGCTATGCAAGTAAGTTAAGTTTTATTATACTTAATGATGGAAGGATTGCCTATCAGAATAGCTTATAATACTAACTCACATTGATCTGAAGAACTTTTAAGTTCAACTGTCATTATTTCATATTTAAAATCTCAGTTTAGGAATCACTGAGATAATACTAATAGAATTTAAAACAATTTTATTTCGATCAAATCTGTTTACATTAAGGTATTCAATTTCAATTACTGAATTTTAATCTGTAAAGAGACTTGAATTATTGATAAATCCCTGCTACAGGATAATTAACACCAGAACAGCCCAGCTCACACATGGATCAAATCTCTGCATCAGAATTACCTAGATCTGTAAACCATTGTCCCACACACTCAACAAAATGTTGAATGGCATTTCCCCCATTCAGTCCAGCACACAGTGCTAACTGCTGGTCATTGAAGTATGGGAAGAATGATATACTTGGCGGAGATTCTTCTCGCACTTGCTCCTTATCTTTGTTGGCGATGATGAACCCTAGCTGAATTGAAGTGCTGATGTTGACAGCTGTTATCAATTTTTTTAAGAAGAAAAAAAAAAGGTAGATAAGTAACTGGGTTTACAAGCAAGGAAAAGAAATAGGCAGGTATATAATAGAGGCCTACAACTTAACCTCTATGCAAACTATTGTTTGTTATAGGATGCTTAAAGCTTATCCTATCTATTTTAAAACCAATTAGGGACTGATAAGGACATTAAAGGTTTATACATTCTATTTTAAACAAATCAAGGACTGATAAAGCCATCAGAAACACAACAACAAAAGATTACACATCTACTTGTGCCATATCTCATGACACTGACTAATTGGGCAATCTCCAAGTTAAATTTAGAATTAACTGGCTGTATAAAAAGGACCAATGTTTTCATTGAGGTAACTTTACAAAAACATTTGCCAGTAAATCTAAAACTTCTGAGCTCCTGTAGTGACAAGAAGAAAAATAATTTTCAACTTTTAAACAAGTCTTCTATATAGCAATGGAAAGTGAAAAAACTGGAGGTAGGTTGATTTTCTGTTTCAATAGATAGCCATTTAAAAAGGAACATCATATTTCTAGAGGCTTTTCATGTGTTACAAAAACCACTGCTTTGTAAAATGAACCGAGTTAATTTTCTACTCAGTATTTCAACCTGTTCACTTATATATTATATAGGGTTTCAAACCTGTCATTAATTAAAAGATAAGGCTATTATTATGACCTTCTTGAATGTATATTTATGCACTAACATTTAAAATATGTATTATATTATGTAATAACAAGAAATTTTGAGGTGGGTTATAATTTTGTTATATGGGGTTGAGTAGTGGTACAACTAAATGTAATTAACATTACCTTTGATTTCCTCTATTATTATTATTCAAAAATGTTTAATGGTCAGATAAATAAGTTTACACACTTTTTTCCCTAAATTCAAACAAAAAAAAAGCTATTTTTCTAATGAAGATGTTATAAACAATTTTTGCATTACCAGATTAGTGGTATAAAGAGTAAAGGGGGTGGCTCCTAGAAATGTTGTATAATAATGTTAGATGGTGGTTTATGAAATGCTATATGTTTTGTAGTGTAACAAGTGTAAGCACATGTGTAGAAAGATATCCCAGTTTTGTGTTGCGTACTATGTGCAGGATCCCTAAACAAACACCTTAAAACCTACCACACTACAGCAACATTTTCTTACTGCTGATGTCTAGTTGACTTTATTAACTCCTACACTGAAAATTCATTTGACCAAATTTGACTTCCTCAACAGTTTACCCAAGTGGGTCCACCTACCCAGAGGTCATGGTCAACAGTCAACTCCATCTGCCACCACCCTACACTGAAGCACCACCACAATACACTGAAGCTCAAGGGCAACAACTCCACAGATCTGAAGCACCAAACAACCAGAGTTACTCCCCAGCTTATGGTTCACAGCCAGACTATGTCCAAGCTTTTCCTCAACAAAATTTTGTTCACCCATTTGCAGCCGAACACAACCCAGCTACAGCTTTTAGATACAGCTACGCACCACAACAGCCAGAGTATGCGCAAGCTTTTCCCCAACAACAAAACCCCCTTAACCCTTTGGCGCCTGGTCAACCACTTACAAACAACTTCTACAGCACACAACACCCAAGACAGCCTCAGATAGTTGAAACTGTTGGGATAGGGAGGAGAAAAGTTTTATCTCATGTAACAGACCTGGAAACTGGCAGGGAGTACAGTGTCATGAAAAAGACCAGCAGAAATGGTCGGCGCAGTAAGGAAATAATCAGAGAAGTCGGTGGGCCGACAACCATTGTCAAACAGACACCAAAAAGAACTGTTATCCGCCAGAAATAAAAAAAAAATGTAGTGGACTACCAAACTTTAGAATATTTATTTATAATCGCACCACTTTCATCTCAGGAAAAAAAAATTAGGTTTACACATAGATGATTTAAAATTTTGTCTCTAAGTAAGTTCAGCTACCAATATACCATTTTCATACATTATTAAAATATTATATCATCTAATAAGTCTGGAATAAAGACCATGCTAAAATAAATTTAAATAATAGATGAAAAGCATAAAAAAACAACTCGATAATAAATATTTTTATCATTTACAGTTTTTTATGTTGTTTTTAGATGTACATCCGTCATTCAAAAAAAATTAGAGTAATAGAAAATTAATATTTTTAAAAAATCAACTTTTCTTCTACATTTTGGTTAGGAAATAACCAGGTATGATAAAATATGTATCTAACACACAAATATTGCACTGCTGATAATAAATATTTTTATAAATTACAGTTTCTTAAATTAAGTTATTTTAATTTTTATATCTGTTATTCCATAAAAATATGAGAGTAATAGAAAAATAATATTTTACACAATATGGTGAACTCAATAGTTAATAAACTTTTCTTCTACATTTAGGTTAGTAAATCATGAAGTATGATAAAATATGTATCTAACATACAAATATAACTACATACCTGCATCATAGTAAATCACCAAGTATGATCAAATATGTATCTAACGTACAAATATAACTACACACCTGCATCATAATAAATCACCAATTATGATAAAATAGGTATCTAACGTACAAATATAACTACACACCTGCATCATAGTAAATCACCAAGTATGATAAAATATGTATCTAAGGTACAAATATAACTACACACCTGCATCATAGTGACTCTTTAGTAGAGCGTACATGGCGCACTGGACATCACCCATGCCTACGTACACAGGCACATCCACTGGCCAGTCGTCATGTGATGAGCTGACACGGCCAACTGGTGTTCCAGATGGAACTATCTTCGGTAGCAAGTGACAGGGAAATTCACTCGACTCAGATCTGCGCATAGTCCAAAATTGTTCACAATTGTTCAATATAGTAAAGAAAATGTCATGAAACATTTTAGATCTAGATCTGTTCATAGACCAACATTATTCAATATAGTAAAGAAAATGTCATGAAACTTTTTAGATCTAGATCTGTTCATAGACCAACATTGTTCAATATAGTAAAGAAAATTTCATGAAACTTTTTAGATCTAGATCTGTAAATAGACCAACAATGTTCAATATAGCAAAGAAAATTTCATGAAACTTTTTAGACTTTTTAGATCTAGATCTGTTCATAGACCAACATTGTTCAATGTAGCAAAGAAAATTTCATGAAACTTTTTAGATCAAGATCTGTTCATAGACCAACATTGTTCAATATAGTAAAGAAAATGTCATGAAACATTTCAGATATAGATCTGTAAATAGAACAACAATGTTCAATATAGCAAAGAAAATTTCATGAAACTTTTTAGACTTTTTAGATCAAGATCTGTTCATAGACCAACAATGTTCAATATATCAAAGAAAATTTCATGAAACTTTTTAGATCAAGATCTGTTCATAGACCAACATTGTTCAATATAGTAAAGAAAATGTCATGAAACTTTTTAAATATAGATCTGTAAATAGACCAACAATGTTCAATATAGCAAAGAAAATTTCATGAAACTTTTTAGACTTTTTAGATCTAGATCTGTTCATAGACCAACATTGTTCAATATATCAAAGAAAATTTCATGAAACTTTTTAGATCAAGATCTGTTCATAGACCAACATTGTTCAATATTTCAAAGAAAATTTCATGAAACTTTTTAGACTTTTTAGATCTAGATCTGTTCATAGACCAACATTGTTCATTATAGTAAAGAAAATTTCATGAAACTTTTTAGATCAAGATCTGTTCATAGACCAACATTGTTCAATAAAGTAAAGAAAATGTCATGAAACTTTTTAGATATAGATCTGTTCATAGCCTAACATTGTTTAATATAGTAAAGAAAATTTCAAGAACTGTGTTTAGTATTAGACTTTTTAGATCTAGATCTATAAATAGATCAACATTGGACAATATAGTAAAGAAAATATTAAGAACTTTTTTTAGAGTTAATGGCTCATGGGAGAAGCACTGTGCACTGCTGTCTATATTTTTGCAAACACAATTTAGTTATAGTAAACTCGGAGGCTTTCTAAAGACTTAAACCCAGCAACTGCTCCAGACCTATATGTGCTCCACCACTCAACCCATTCCATCTTTCATCTAGTATTTTATCAAATAACTTGTTTTTAAAATAAACTAAAAATCAGTTTCTTGAAAAGATATTCTTGTAAATAGACTAGAATCTTTAAGACATCTTACAATGCTGAGCTCCACCCTTGAGTTGATTCATCATAATAACCCAGGCTGGCAGCAAGCTGATCGGATGTTACAGGCCTTTCTAGGCCACATAAAACAGACACCAGCAGGTCCATGATAGTCCCGCAGCAAGTGAAGTTTCCATCAGTAAAAAATGTTGGTTTATTTTTAGCCAGCCAGAAGATGGTAGCACAGCCATGACCAGTGGATAGAGTTGTCTGGGAGTTTTCTGAACTGGGCAGGGTTTCTATAATTTAAAATACAGAGGTCTGGTGATTTCTGAATTGGGCAGGGTTTCTATAATTTAAAATAGAGGTTTGGTGATTTCTGAATTGGGCAGAGTTTCTATAATTAAAATAGAGAGGTCTGGGAATTTTCTGAACTAGGCAGGGTTTCTATAATTTAAAATAGAGAGGTCTGGTGATTTCTGAACTGGGCAGGGTTTCTATAATTTAAAATAGAGAAGTCTGGTGATTTCTGAATTCGGCAGGGTTTCTATAATTTAAAATAGAGAAGTCTGGTGATTTCTGAATTGGGCTGGGTTTCTATAATTTAAAATAGAGAAGTCTGGTGTTTTCTGAATTGGGCAGGGTTTCTATAATTTAAAATAGAGAAGTCTGGTGTTTTCTGAATTGGGCAGGGTTCCTATAATTTAAATAAGATCTTGAAAATTTTCTTGCAAGTTGTATTAAAAAAATGTTGGGATGAAGCAGTTGGGAAAGCCAACCTATCAAAAGGTTGATTTTGCACACACTAACTTCATTCTTACAGTTATATTTCTAGTATTTAATCAGGACTAGACTTTATTGTAAAAGCAGAGCAGTTACACTATTACTGACATTAATTTCACAGAATTCATTACTTTCTAATTTATTTTTCTTTAAAAATACCCTTAAAATAATATTGAATCCTGTTCCCTTCGCTACATTATTTCAAATAGAGTGCATATAAGCTCAGTATCTGAAGACTAAATAAAATACTTACTGATGAAGTCCTCTGAACATCGTTGATCTTGCCATGTGAATAAATGACTACAACAACTTTCATTAATTTTCAAGAAGCTATTTTGTTTTCCTTCAAAAAGATTTTGCCATAGCACAACACCATGCATCTGGCCAGTAACTCCAATTCCTAAACAGGAAAAATTAAAAGTAACAGCTGATGTTATTTTTAAAGACTATTTTAAAACGTTTCTCTTGGACTTATCAAGTAACTACAATTATTAACTACCAGGCTTTTAATTTGAAAAAAAAATTTGAAGTGTAGTATGCTAATTATATGGTTAGGTAGGGAAGAATGGTCAATCATTAAGTCAAGCCTCAAGTTAATATGTAAAAAGTTAAGGAAGCTGGATAGGATGGCATGGTAGAGCACACAACTAGACATACTATCCAGAAAGTCTCATCCCACTATCAAATCCATATGACGTCCCTGAATCCACCCAGATCTTGAGAAAGTAAAAGCAACTATAGGCAAAGGTGCTTACAAGCTATCTCTTCATAAGCAGGCATCACAGAAACAAACGAACTCTACTTCATGTGCCCCATTGACCACTAGGTAAAAAAACTTTCATGTGTCAGCTGCCATTTCCGAGAGGGCGATTTAATTTCTTTATACTTTATTTTTATTAGCAAATAGCAAGAATTAAAAAAATTAAAAATGTTGTACTTATGTACACAAAAATACCATATTCATATTAATTCATAGTGATCACCTTTGATATTATGTTTCACTTCAGCAATGAGGGGAACAACTACATTCTGTATAGTAGAAAATATCTTAAGAACATTTTGTTCATATCCAGAACTTCCTATTTCACTTTTAACATCTGCTGAAGTGGATAGAGATGAGGATGAAACTGTTTCTGCATACTGATTAATTAACACAGCTTTCACAGAGGTTGTGCCAAGATCAACTCCTAGCCATAGTGCATCTTGACCAGTTGAGGCCATGTTATTTTGTCTGTTTACACAGGTACAACTTATAACCAATATATATAGGCCATATTATATATATATATATATATATATATATATATATATATATATATATATATATATATATATATATATATATATATATATATATATATATATATATATATATATATATATATAAAGCAAAGTGGTCAGGTGCCCGATAGGGCACTTCCCGGCGCCGCAGGCGCGTCAAATTTGGCACGATGGTGCCTTGGGACGATAGAACACGAGGGCCGGTGACGGTTTGCCGAAAAGTCTACGGACAGGGGGTCAAAACTGACCTCGACTGACCGGCGCCTTATATGGGCTATATTACGAAAAAAAATTTCCTCCGACGACCCCCCTTGAAATTTTGTGAGGTGGTAGAAGAACGCCTAGGGGTGTCACAAAAAACTTGGCATATCTGGGAAAACTTCGTAAAGGGGTCAAAACTGACCAGTTGTATTTCCCTGTATAATCTTTGTATTTTATGGGAAAAACAGAGGGTCATTTCAACGCAGACTTTAGGGTACTTAAACTCAGTATATCTGGCTAATTTTTTGCATACTCTTTGGTCAATTGCTTGACCTTTAGGAAAAACTGTCGGTTTCACTTAAAGCCCTCGACGAGGGCTAAAAAGTGACCGCCAGTGAAATTCTCTTTATATAAGCTCAATTACGAAAAAAAATTTCCTCCAACGACCCCCCTTGATATTTTGTGAGGTGGTAGGAGAACGCCTTGGGGTGTCACAAAAAACTCGGCATATCTGGGAAAAATTCGTAAAGGGGTCAAAACTGACCAGTTGTATTTCCCTATATAATCTTTTTATTTTATGGGGGAAACAGGGTAATTTCTACGCAAATTTTAGGGTACTTACTCTTTGTATAACTGGCTAATTTTTTGCATACACCTCTATAGATGAATGGGTTGTATGGAAAAACTGTTGGTCAGCATCAAAGCCCTCGAAGAGGGCTAAAAATGACTGCGAGTGAAATTCTCATTATACGAGATTTGGTCTATGAGCAGGGGAGGTAACTTTTTAATGTAACAATTTTTTAATATTTTGTATACTCTTTTTAAGAAAAAACAAAAATCATAAAGTATAGCATTGTTTTAAATGGTTATTTTGTTATAAATTAAGTTTTGTATTGTATTGAAATTGTAAAATTAATTGCAAAATTTTATGAAAGCCCTTTCAGTTCTAATAACCTTGCGAGTAATAAGTTTGCGAATATTCCATCACTATGGGTGGGATGAAAGTACTCCACTGTATAAATTTAGGCCCTAAGCATTTAACATAACAGCCAATCACCTATTAATTAATCATTCAATTTCTCAACTTTTTTGAAAACCTAAGCGAAGCTAGGCAGTATGCCGTGTATATATATATATATATATATATATATATATATATATATATATATATATATATATATATATATATATATATATATATATTATATAGGCCCTATATATTATATTATAGGTGGTTTGGCCTAATTTAAATCTGTTAATAAATTAATAACATTATTAAGTATAGAGTATTAAAGAGTAATAATATTATAGTCATATAGTGATCTATTAATTAATACTTATTAGGCCTAATATTTAATATAGGCCTATAGCCTAAGTATAAGTTTTAAGTAGTTTGGCCTATTGTCTATAACTCTATAGTATAGTTTAGTGATAGTCTAGTGACTAAAATAAAGACTTTATCCGGGCCTACTTTATATATAGTTAAGTATATAGTATAAAGTATAATTCTAAGTATATAGTTATACTATATATAGTGATATAGGCCTACTATATATCATATTTTTTTTAATGGTTAATTAATCTAAATAATATTATTAATCTACTAACACACAAGTGTACGAGTAAGTACTATAAGTAGATCTGGACTGTAGGAGTAAGTAGATCTGGAGTCTAGATCTATGACTATTAATAATTACGAAGTGTCTACTCGGAATAAGATTTTTCGGCAAAAGATAGTTCTGCGCATGCGCAGTGACCTATGGCTAGGGTTAGGGCTAGAATGAGGGTTAGGGGTAGGATTAGGGATAGGGTTAGGGTTAGGGATAGGATTAGGGTTAGGGATAGGATTAGGGATAGTAGGGTTAAGGATAGGATTAGGGTTGGTATTAGGGTTCTGCGGTTGTAAACACACGCATGCGCAGTACCATCGAAAACATCGTCGCTAAGTCGTAGTTTCTTTCCATTGCGCATGCGTATCGCATGCGTATCTTATTCCGACTAGAATCGGCCTAATAATTATTATTTAATATTTATTAGGCCTATATAGTATATATACTATATAGTATATAGGATTATACTTAGGCCTATACTATTTATTTACTATTATTAATACTATTATTATCATTATACTCATTATACTACTGATTGGACTTGGTGTAGTGTAGTGATACACTATTATTTAATATTTATTTATGTGGTGTAGGAAGCATGTACTATGATGCACCAATGTAATTTTAAAAATGTCCAAGCTTGTTATAACCCAGTAACTAAACATCAATTTTAAAATTTCCCATTATGTAGTGTAATTAATTACTGTACTTAACTAGATCTTTATGACTTATATCTATAATTATAATTCTATATAGTTGACTATAGATCTAGATGCTCTAATAAGTCAAATGTCTAAACTATTAAGCCCTCACATAGACTAGATCTAGATCTTGGGCACTATATCTATCTAGATCTAGAATCTAGATCTAGTTTCTAGATTCTTCTGAATAGTTGTAACTCATGCTTAGTCTGCTAAGGGTAAAGCCCGTAATCCGTAATAATAATAATTAATAAGGGCACGAGAGGCCTAAAAATGGGGTTAAGCTATCATTTAATATTTTAAAAGACAAAACACACCAATGTGTTTGGTTTGACAATTGTAAAAAAAAAATAAGTGCATATCACATACTTTGATTTGGATCTATCTAGATCTATTATTAGACAGATATTTTATTTTAAGTTAGATATTATGTTGACCATCTGAGTCTACTAATAAATTTAATAAATCCTCCCTGTTCTTTTTATTTAACCTGGAAATGAAATCAAACATTGCTTATTGCCCTTTGAAAGGTCAGCACATGCAATCTTGGAAGTGGTGCTAGTCAGAAGCATTTTCATTTCAAGAGGAATAGAACTTAAACAATTATGGCAAAAGCATTGAAATTCGCATCTTTTACCTCAAAAGTGTTAGCTAATGGAAGTGCTAAACTACTACCACTTCAAAAAACATCTGTTAATCCATTGAAGCAATGTATTTCAAAAATTAACAGCAGCGTTTCTGAAAATCTATCTGCATCTTCAAGGGCATACAGCACGCTTTCATCAGTTGTAAGGCCAGTCTTTCATTCGAAAGGATGCTGCTGTCCTATGTGCTCTAAGACTGGTGTTGCACCTTTCAGTACAGAAGGTATAGTATTTAAATCTACATCTATTTGTTTTAAAAACAATACAGCTCAATACGGGATAATTTTAGAATTTAGGTAGGTTAGTAACTCCTGAGTTGGTCCTAGCTAAAGTCTAGCTAGATCTAGAGGAGCTTACACTTTTCGGACACACATAGCGAAAAACGCAACGTAAAAATTCCATGCGGTCTCATTCAGTAACCGCTTAACATAGAAAACAAAAAAAAGTATCATATCTATCCGCAACCATTCTACTTTAATAATGTGTGTGTCATTTTGTATTCATACGCATAGAACTTAAGCTATTCTTGTTATAGTGACTGGGGGGTCTTAACGTGTGTTCGAACACATGTAATACAGTTTTACATGTGTTCGGACACCTTTACCCGTCATCGGACATAGCACTTTTGGTTCATTTAGAATAATTTAATGTCAATTTAATGAATAAAAACATATATTATATGCATGTATTAGGTACTAGGATAAATTTTCAAAATTGGGTTTTTGAGGAAACAACTACTACAGTTAAAAGGAGCAGAAAATTACAATAACAGAACAGTTTTCATTTTTGATGTAGCTCAAACGGTTAAATAGTTATGATTTTTTTTCGTACTAAAAAAAGCGTTTTTTTTAAACATAGGATTTTTTCAATTTCTGTGTTAGAATTTTTTTAAGCGTTTACTAAAATTGTCATAGCCTGTAAACCGTGTGATCAAATTTGTTATAACTTTGTAGTAACTTAAGTTATCATATATGTTAACATAATAAAAAATAAAAAGAGAACTTCATAGGTAGAATTCTAAAAAAAACTGGAGGGGAGGAGGGGACCCCCTTATTTTTGCATTCACAGTGCTTTCATACAATCACAGTTTAAAGTTAAACTATTTGAAATATCAAGCTGAAAATTGCTCAGAATGTGTGGCTATGGATGAGATCATTAATACCATCAAAATATTGATCATAATTTGAAAGTTTTTTGTTCAAAGAGCAAATGAGCTGATAAATTATGCATTTTTACAAAAACCTAAATCTGGTTAGTGTAAAATGGAAAATGATGCCAAATTTGAACTTTTAAGTATTTATGTCTCAAAATTGGCCTGATTGTAGTTAACCCTAAACCTAAATAGATACAATCAAATTGTATGTTTTAGTTATATATGTTTGCCTAAAATAGGGGGTGGAAGAATGTACCCCTCTATATTTTTAACACCGAAACTTTTCACACAACTCAAAATTAACTCAAACTATTTAAAATATCAAGCTGAAAACTGATCAGAATGAAGTTCTGTAAGTGTGTCTGTTAATATTATATAAATATTGATATTGGTAAGTTTTATAAATGGTTATATTATATGTGAATTCTAATTTTTTTAAATATATGAAACCATATTTTAAACTATTGTAATTTGTTTTAGAAAATTAAAGATGAACAAGTGATTTATTTCCATCAAAGAAATTTAATTTTCATCACTGTTTAATATTACATTGTTCTTCCTTTGCCTGTGCTGTAGAATTGCAGTTTCTATCTGGAATAATGAACATTACTTTAGTAACATGTCATTAAAATAAATGAAACATAACTAATTAGTAAACTGACCAACCACTGTAGACATACGGTCATTAAGATCGACTTATTAAAATTCCCGACAAACCCCTTGACATCATTAATGACTTATTGTGCGTGACAATAACTCCCGTCATTAATGCTCACGGCAATCTGTGCATAACAATGAATCCCGTCATTAATGCTCACGGCAATCTGTGCGTGACAATAACTCCCGTCATTAATGCTCACGGCAATCTGTGCGTGACAATAACTCCCGTCATTAATGCTCACGGCAATATGTGCGTGACAATGACTCCCGTCATTAATGCTCAAGGCAATCTGTGCGTGACAATGACTCCCGTCATTAATGCTCACGGCTATACAGTTCTAAAATCTAGCTCTCGTAAAAATGGCTCAAAATAAACGCCGTAGATAAAAAAAACTAATTTTGTTAGTATTCAAGATCTAAAAAGTCCACAACATTAATCTTAGAAGAATTCAAATAAACAGGACTACTGCGTTTACAATCAGAACAGAGCGTTGAAAACTTGGAATACTGTTTTAAATCCTTCATTATAAACTACGGTAAACGATCTTCCATAAGTGACGTCATTAACCCTCCCCCTATCCTCATTGGTACACTACGTAACCTTTCTTAACCCCAACCCTCGATGCTCACGTAGAACAATGTCAACCTCGGGTCAACGCGTCGTTCAGTGACGTCAGAGGACTGAGGACAGATTCCCGGTGAACGTCGTTAATTTAGGGGAAAAAAATCACAACCAACAATAATAATGTCAGTTTCGCGTGTTGGTTTAGTAATTTAGTAGTGGGCCATCCATACAATAGATCTACATGACGTCACGGAACTGGAGTCCACCGTACTTACTCAACCCCCCCCCCCCCCCGTATGCAATGTATGCGTATATGACAGCATTTCAAATAATAAAATATATAGGCCTAAATAAAGAGTCAATGGGGAATGTGCTATTATTTTCTAGAACTGTCAATTCAAACGATATAGTGATATTAATTAAACAAAGTCTATACTAAATAATAAAAAAATAACTGAATACAGTGTAAATTGAAAGTCATATTTAATAAGTCGGTAGTGTTGTTAGCGTGATCAGGCTAGGCCTCCCACGGTACTTCCGGCTTTCCTTTCGTTTTGAGCCGTAACCATCAGAAATGGCGAAGTACATACCTTTTTAGGGAGTGAACCATTAACAATGGGAGCAACTTAGAACTCTAAATTAATAAAGATAATACGTAGAAATGGTCCCTTTGTTTGATTCTCTACATAAAGTGCGCGTGTCTTCAATAGTTTTTTTGTAATGAATAAAATAAACTTACCTTATTTTCAAAGAATAACTCCTCTTTTTTGGGTCCAGAAGAAAAAAACAAAAAAATACAAACAAGCTTGATATCCATTTTTATCCTTAAAACAATCATCACAAGAAAATTGATCACACGGAAGCGGCGAATTAAGCAAATTTTCGAACATCGTCACTCGCGCGATCGCCGAAAACGCAACAGCCTGGTAACGGGAGAAAAATGACGCCTCGGACGCCGCAGCGCGAGCGTAATCCTAGTACCTAGCATGTATATTGTGTTATTGATTGTTTGTGAGGTAATTTTAATAGTATAAAACCTTTTTCCCACACTCACAAAGTTCATCCCATTCAGCCATTGCGGCTCGCGCAGTACGCTGCTAAGCCAGCCAGGTCACATGATTCCCCCTCCTCTTTCGCATTCCACTGCCTTCTTGACCTTATTTTGACCCTTTCCCTTCAATAACCAGCCCCTTTTATGCTCTAAATTCTTATTTAGTAATATTTTTGTGTTGCTGTCCGCTCCCATGTAAGGCCAAATAAGTTAGCGAACACCCCTTTTTTATTGTTCAAGCACAAAAAAACCCATTAACCTTGACATTTACGATGTTCCATACATATATAGAAGCTATTTATAGTGTAACCTTTTAGCTAAGCATTGATTGGTTCAAGTTTTGCCCCTAAGTCCAACCCTAGGTCACTTCATCCGGCTGGTGTAAAAATAGAAATGTGCGTACCATGCAACGTTAAAAAATTTCTAAAAATAATTCTTGAGAAAGGAAACGGAAGTACTTGACACGGGAGTGTTCATAAATGAACAGTTTACGTGCAGGCGCCGTGGTTTCGCGTGAGACATGCTAATTAAAGTTTCTATGAGCCAAAAACCGACGAAGTGTTCGCTCCTACGTAATTTTTGGTGTGTGTCCGAAAAGTGTAAACTCCTCTAGATCTAGAAATCTAGATAGGAGAGTCTAGAGAAGTTTACTTAAGCCCGGACACTACATCGGTCCGGACACTTAGTTGGTTTTTGGCTCATAGAAACATTAATTAGCATGTCTCATGCGAAACCACGGCACCTGCACGTAAACTGTACATTTATGAACACTTCCGTGTCAAGTACTTACGTTTCCTCTCTCAAGAATTATTTTTAGAAATTTTTTAACGTTGCATGGTACGCACAATTCTATTTTTACACCAGCCGGATGAAGTGACCTAGGAGCAAAACTTGAACCAATCATCGCTTAGCTGAAAGGTTACACCAGGGGTCTCCAAACTTTTCAGTCCGAGGGTCGCATTAGCTATCAAATTTCAGTTCGAGGGCCAATTTCTTCCAAGCATGTCTTTGATTTTTCTGTGCAAAAAACATCTCTGCGGGCCGGATGAGAGGACTTCACGGGCTGTAGTTTGGAGACCCCTGGGTTACACTATAAATAGCCAAAAACCGACGAAGTGTCCGGACTGATGTAGTGTCTGGGCTTAGAGGTAAAGTTCCACAGCCATTTACTCATAGATCTAGCGGAAAATTTTGAACTCATGGGGCGCTATTTTGTAACCGTTTCACAGTGAAACAAACAGACAGTACTATATTACTCTGCTGCCATTGTACTCTAATATGTAGGGTGAAGTGCCAAAACCACTGTCAAAACCAAGATGCGATCACATTCCTGTTTTGTTTTGTATAGAACAACCAATTATTATATGAAGCGATGGCCGCAGCGTGTGCTTAACCGTGTGCAGAACTTTTCTCTATATCTAGTTAAATCTAGTAGTATTGTTCACTACCCCGGAGGCGTGGCTGGTTGCTAACAACAATATGGATGCATGACTTCCGACAATTTTTCGTCTTAGTGCCAGAGACCTTCTTAGTAGGCCTATTACTTTTAAAATGTTTATCACGAGTAAAATGGCGGGTTTTCACGTTATAAAAACATGCTATAGGTGGCAGGGCTAAATATGCCAGAATAGTATGTTAAAATTTGCTTTGGAGAATGAAGGCTAAATTTAAAAGTCTGTGTCATTAAAATTAATAGAACTTTTAAAATTTCAGCCTGGAGAGTACAAAAATGGATTAGAGGTTGTAGAGGTTGTAGAACTATTAGGGTTATCAGTCGATGGAAAAAATAAATCAAACATTGCAGGCACTTTTAAAAATAAGACACTACATCTGAATGTCAACCAAATTTTTTTATTTTTTTAAAACCACAAGACCGCTATTTGGTGATCACTAGTGAGGAACTCTGGGTGCATGGCCACTTAAAAAGTCTAACCGGATTTGTAGTTTTCTTTAGCTTCAAATGTAAAAATGATTGTCATGGAGAGGTGTGTCGTGCATGGCAGTGAGTGACAATAAATATTAAGTAATTTAGTTAAAAACGAACTAAAAACTTCAAAATTAGTGCCTAATGTATTAATTATAAATGTCAACCATTTATATTAGTGGTCATGTTTAAATTGAAAAGTGGGTAAATTTTAGATATAGTAAGAAAATCTAAGATCTAGTAACAGATTATTTTTTACAAGTTAAATTTTCATCTTTTTTTTTGCTAGGCCTAGATTCTTACTTTTTGCACAATGATTGTTAATGCCAAAATAAAATGGCTTTTTTTTTTTTTTTTTTTTTTTTTTTTTTTTTTTTTTTTTTTTTTTTTTTGCTAGGCCTAGATTCTTACTTTTTGCACAATGATTGTTAATGCCAAAATAAAATGGCCTTTTCTAAAAACTTTGGATTGCCGAATTTTTAGGCCTACATTTTTTGTTTTTCTATGATCAATTTTGGCTTCTAAATCAGCTTGGGTCTTAAATTATATAGGCTAGTTATCTAGTTAGCTCGCTATTATACAGAGTTGCTTAGGCTTACCATTAGTAATATGATAAGTAGGCCTTTTCATGTTCGTTTAAATCATTTTTCTGATTTTTGTCATTGCATTGACTTTTGTATTTCAGTGGACAAAGAAATTTCAAAATTTTTGACAAAAGAAATTGAATACGAACAGTCTAAAGGAAGTAGCAGCCTGCCGAAGATTCCAGGATTTGAAATTGTTGCAAACGGAGGTGATGTCACTTTAACAAAAACAAGTGGAAAAGAAAAGTGAGTTACCATATAGGCCTACACTGTATATCAATTTAAATATAAGTATAATTTTTGATTGCTAGTTTTAGTTTGTTTTTTTACCTTGAAAACTAGTAGTGCATTAATTTATTTATTACCAAATTTTAGCTATGTGGTTGCTTTTCTTTTTACAATATACTAATTTTATTAGATCTAGGGACTAGAAAATCTATGTTGAAAATCTTATTTTCAGAATTGTAGTGAAACTGAATGTTAATGGTGCTGTGGACTGTGTCATGTCAGAGAATCCCACTGACAAAGAAAATGATCCACCTCAAGTAAGCCTATCATTTTACTAGTGAGAAGTTGCATTTATTTCCCTCACTTTTAAAAATTATTACTTAATTCTTTAACTGATGTGTTCTATAGATGATCTGTAGGCCACCCTTTGATGTTGAGATCAGTAAGGGGGATGGGAAAAAGTTGGTGATTGAGTGTTCTTTTGCCCAAAATGATAGCTCATACATCGATGAGGAGGCATCTTATGACAAGAGCAGAGAAACAGACCAAATAGGTATGGAAAATAACTTTTTGTTCTTTATTTTTGTTTTAAGCCAAACTTGTTTTGATTTTAAAAGAGCGAATCCTACCTTCTTTGACTGTATTATTCTAGGTCATCCAGTCACTTATCTTGGAATTTGTATTTATAAATATTCTTCTTTTCCATTTTATAACAGTAAAAGCATCAGTTGGGAAAATTTGCTTCAAGAATAAATTATTTATTTTTTTGTTTCTTTAGATGATCAGTTCGAGATTCATGAAATTTCTTTCCAAGAAGAGGGATCTACAGATGGAGGGTACTCTGTTTCAGCTTCAACAATGGATGCTGTAAGCTTCAATCATTTTATATAAGACTTATGTTGGTCTATAGCCAAAATATTGCTTTTGTAAAGAACCTAATTTCACATAATAAGACATTTAATTTTTTCATTGTAATATGTTTGTGTAGCATAGAAATTCAATAACATAAACAGGCAAATGGAAATTTATCATTGCTGAGCTTAATAAAAGCATAAAAAATTGTATACCCAGTTTTTTAGATTGAATTGTAGTCTTATCAGTATTTTTTAAAATATTGGCACTGGCTTTTGATAGTATAGTGTTTGTATAAATATATAAATGTATAGTGTTTGGTTTGTCCTGAGATTTTCATGTATGTGTTATTGAATTTTTAAGATGGTTTGTCCTGACCCAGTAATTTCCCTTATGTTTGCAGGAGCTGTTTGACCTGCTGATGGATATGCTGGATGAGCGTGGCATCAATGATGAGTTTATCGTCCACTTGGTCGACTACTGCACAGCTTATGAGAACCAGCAGTACATTGGGTTCCTCAAGAAGTTACAATCATTCGCTGACAAATAATTTCATGTTAGTATTTGCATTTGTTCTGTAGTAAAACTCATGTTAGTACACTGTATGTTTTATTGCATTTAGGGGCTTGTATCATACTTCACTGAAAGAGAACAATCTTGCTTTAAGTTAATTAAGCAAATTCATTCTTTATAAAAAAAAATCTCAAATGTCATTTTTCATTTTATAATTATTTTGTAAATGGTCCATTAATAAACATTTGCTATACAATTAAGTGTTGTATCTTGTGCTATGTTTGGTCACATGCTAGTTGAGTGTGGTACTAAAATATTAAAGATCTGTTGTAAAACCAAGGTTAGAGAATCTGGTTGTAAATAAAAAATGAGCAGGTTGTTAAAATAAAAGTACTAAACTGATCCTGTAACTGACAGTGCATGCTATAATTTTTTTCTCACTGGACAAACTGGGTTGCAAAGGGCTTTCTGTGGGATTGCCAACTGGTAGACTAAACCCTAGGAATTAAAAAAAAAAAACTAAATATTTAGAAGAATGTGTGAAGTTTGTCTCAATAACAACTGGAAATGGAAAAGAAACAATGCGTGCTGAGCAAAGTTCTCAGTCATGAGTCTATGCCACTTTGAAAACTAAAATGTCGTTTTGAGACTTGCCATTCAGTTTCATTAAAAAAAATTGAGTTCTTACGTTGGCATGTAGCTAGACGTGAAATTGATTGCCTATCGGATGTTAGTTCCTTTTATGTCTACATATCTCTGCGGGAATATATTTTCAACACTTTTCAAAACAGAAATAAATGAGAGAAAAGAAGGCTGAAATCGGAGCCAACAGGCCAGATAGTGCATAATATGTTGACAAGTAATACATAATTATTTTTAAGAAAATCTGCATTACTACAATTAACCAAAATTGAGAAGAAATATAGATCCACCTAGACTAAAAGTAATTGACAAATTTAAATGTGAGTCAGTTAAGAAAACTATTAAGATAGATGCACAGCGTGTTCAACTAATCTGAGAGTTATTCAAATTAAAGAAATAATAAAAAGGTATTAAATATATACACAGGTTTAAAATAAAGATGCCTAAACTTGTACTGCTTATCACAGTTCAGTACCCGGACTAAGTGAGCTTGCTACAATATCACCCCACAGAAGCGTAGTGACTCTTCCCGGAGACAGACTTTCAATTTGGCGCCGCACGCCCCCCCCCCCCCCCCCCCATATATTTATTTTTAGATTTATAATGCAAAACTGCAGCTAAAATGCACTTTTAAATTTTTTTTACAACCCATTTTGGCGCCCCCTGCCCACCCGCCTCGCTACGTCTCTGTCAGACCAGCAACTATGTAGGTGACCTCAGCTACACATGGAGGTAAATAAATAAAGTTTTCATCATACAATGTTAATTACAGTTCTTGCTGTCATGAAAAGGTTTGTCTCTAGCATTGAATAGTAATACTTTACATGGTAAGTTTGTTTTACAAGGAAAGAGTCATTCTTAAACAATGTCACATTCCATCTGGATTTTATGACAGGGTGTTTATGTCTACTATAAGTATCACTAGTGTTAACTTAAAGGGCTGCCCTATATTATAAAATCTATAAAAACAGTCCATGCACCTTTGCCATGAACTCTGGGCGACTTTGTGCAGCAGTCTTGTGAGCCCAAACATGGGCCACATGTTGTTTTTTGTTTGATTTAGTTCAAACTTTACTTACTGTAGTTTAGTATAGAGAAGATGGTTCTGAATTAGAAAGAGAAGGTCTAGCTGATGTCATTTATGGACAATTCCCTAATAGTATAATCTATGTAACAAATAGTGAAATAAGTTGCATGCAAACTAGCACAGCAATTACTTTTTAAATATCAACAATGCCATTTTGTTTTTATCATTTTGATCTTTTCTGCTTTCATTTAATTGCTACCACTTGGTCTTTGATACACACACACACACTTATGTTTCTCCAATTTTATATTACTATTAAATAACTAAATCATAAATTCACAAAGAAAATTACGATTTTAAGCAGCATTTTAATTTGCAAGTAAATAAAGCATCTTTAAAACACACATTTGCCATTCAGAGGGATCGGTAAAATATTTTTTGAAAATCTATTCTGGTGCTCATAATTGACTGATCAACTGATAGCCTTGGTTGAATACAAATGATTGTAAAATGACTAAGTTTTTTTTAAAAACATGTATAAGCAAAAAATATGGAAGGTTGAAATATCAATGTAAAAAACTAAATTAGACACTTTTTTGCACATTGATCAAAAAATATATCACATTTTAATAAATAATTTTTGCACTTTAAGATAGTTTCATAAAAAAAACAAAATATTTTTTATGTCCTAATAATACTTGGGGTAGAAATTTAAAATAGTTTCATAAACAAACAAAATATTTGCTATAGTTTACCTAATAATACTTGAGTAGAGATTTAAGAGATTCATAAACAAACAAAATATTTTTAAAGGCTAACCTAATAATACTTGGGGTAGAAATTTAAAACAGTTTCATAAACAAACAAAATATTTTGTATGGTTAACCTAATAATACTTGGGGTAGAAATTTAAAACAGTTTCATAAACAAACAAAATATTTTGTATGGTTAACCTAATAATACTTGGGGTAGAGAGATTTACTTTGTTGACTGCTAATACAAAGAAAAGTTCTTTAAAAAATGTACATTTGTATATTGCACTGGAATGTATGTTCTAAAATAAGGAATTCATTTTAATAACATGCCATGCAATTTACCTTTACATGACTATTTAATAAAATCCTATGCAATTTACCCTTACATGACTATTTAATAAAATCCTATGCAATTTACCCTTACATGACTATTTAATAAAATCCTATGCAATTTACCCTTACATGACTATTTTAAAAATCCCATGCAATTTACCCTTACATGACTATTTAATAAAACCCCATGCAATTTACCCTTACATGACTATTTAATAAAACCCCATGCAATTTACCCTTACATGACTATTTAATAAAACCCCATGCAATTTACCCTTACATGACTATTTAATAAAACCCCATGCAATTTACCCTTACATGACTATTTAATAAAACCCCATGCAATTTACCCTTACATGACTATTTAATAAAACCCCATGCAATTTACCCTTACATGACTATTTAATAAAACCCCATGCAATTTACCCTTACATAACTATTTAATAAAATCCTATGCAATGAACCATGTAAAATTATTAGCAAAAGCAGATTATAGTAAATATTTAAAAATGCTAATACAAAGAAAAGTTCTTTAATAAAATGTACATTTATTTATCACACTGGAATGTAAGTTATAAAATAAGGCAATAATTTCAATAAAATACCAAGCAATGACCCTTGAAAGACAATAATTTAAATAAATAATTCCACATAATTAGCCTTATAAGGCTTAAATATAAATACAATCCCACTCAATTATCCTTATATAACAATTATTTAAATAAAATCCTGTGCAATGAACCTTATACAATTATGAGTAAAAGCAGATTATAGTAAATATTTAAAAAATGCATTATATTAAAATATATGGTGTAATAACAGATAAACACCTATATTTTAAATAAACAAAAAGTATAATGAATATCACAAAATATGTTTGTAATTATTAAAAATAAAAAAAAATATTAGCAAAAAAATTGGTTTGGTGGTTTTTGAAAATTTCTTAATATAAATGTATATATAAAAAGTATAGTAATTATTTCACAATTAATTTTCAGCCCAGCTTTCTAATAGCAGTAGATCTAGTGGAATTCATTGTATGAAAGTTGATCAAAAATACATGAAAAAATGAATTTAAAATTATTTGTAACACAATACAGAAATATAAAAGTTTAGGTCAAAAAAATAATTTCTGAGATCTCTCCTGGCTATCCATTGTTGTCCTATATATTTATTTCTAGATGTCATTTCACAGGAAGAGAAAAATGTCATTGTTATTTAGGTATACTAAGAGAAACAGGCAGGCTCCCTTATGTCTTATGTAGGGAAATTTTTAGTTGCCTGACGCAAATAGAAGGGGGATAAAATAAATTTAAAAAATAATCTCAATCATCTCAGCCTAGACCTACTTTAACCAAAGAAAGGGGATACTACCGAAATAAATTCCATTGTTCTGATAGGGTTAATTATCCTGACCGCAAAAAATACGTATTCTTTCAGTGTATTAGACTGTCATGATTACAAAGTCACATAAAAGCAGAAGTAGTACAAGAAAAAACGAACCCAATTCTAAATAATGATATAAGTTAGGGGACGGATACATAATCATGAGATCAAATGATCCCATTTCATAAGACAAGATCAAAGACGGCTTTGAAGTGGACGGGTTGAGGATGGTTAAACAGATTTAAAAGTTTTCTAACAACCAAATAATTGATGAGTTCTCCTAATAGTACATGGGGTAGAGATTTAAGAGTTTCAAAACAACAAAAATATGTGCATAGTTAACGTTAGCTGGTTTACATGGGGTAGAGATTTAAAATAGTTTCAAAACAACAAAAATATTTACATGGTTAACATTAGCTGGTTTACATGGGGTAGAGATTTTGGAGTTTCAAAACAACAAAAATATTTGCATTGTTAACCTTAGCTGGTTTACATGGGGTAGAGATTTTATGTTTCATAACAACAAAAATATTTACATGGTTAATCTTAGCTTGTTTACATGGCGTAGAGATTTAAAATAGTTTCAAAACAACAAAAATATTTGCATAGTTAACCTTAGCTGGTTTACATGGGGTAGAGATTTTGGCGTTTCATAACAACAAAAATATTTACATGGTTAACCTTAGCTGTTTTACATGGGGTAGAGATTTTGGAGTTTCAAAACAACAAAAATATTTACCCAATAATAATATTAATCTAATACTTAACTTGGTATGATGCAAAAAAAAATTATATTTTCAAAGTAGATCTATATTTTTACACCACACTTAAATGCAAGTTTAAAACTAAGACAATAATTTTTAAAATTCCAACTTACTGAACCCTATACAATTATGACTAGAAGCAGATTACAGTAATATTTGCAAGCAGGCCTACAATCTACATTGTATTCTAAAATACCAATAAAATCAATATTAGGCCTATAAATAAATAATTTAATGTATATCTACTTCATATTAAAAAAAATTATTTATAGGAGCCTACCTAGTAACACTAAGTATTGTAAAATTAGGTTAGGCTATTTTTTAAAATTCTCACAGAAATAAATAAATTTATTTATAAACTGTTGTTGAATTATCCTGCTTTTAACAAAACACTCTGCCCTTTATTACATTAAATCAGTTTTTCAAAAATGTGAGAATTGTTTCATACATTGATTATAGGCCTATTAACATAGCTTAAACAACTACTATACAGTAAAGAGGTTATAGGCAAATAAAAGCATATGTAAAGCAATATTTTCTAAGCTAACTCCCATACTGAACAAAATTTTTAAAGTAATTTTTTAAGAAACCAATCAATGAAACAATATTATTTTTTAAATATCAGGAGAAAAGAAAAGACACGCTTGTACAGTGTTATTTTTTTCTTGCCGGACTTAATGGGTCTTACAAACGTGAAGTTTGTACCTATCTAAAAAAGCGCCCTATCGACTTAACTAAGGGGAGACTACTGTTTTTGACTTATTTAAAGGGAAACTAGGCCCTACTGAAAAAAACAAATTTAATTGTTTTGACTGGTAGGTTGACAGCATAAAATTCAACACTTATTCTAAAAAGTAAAACTACTCGACTGTCATAATAAAATTACATAGTTACTTAAGACTGATATAGGAGCACAACATGCTCTCATATCTGCTAGAATGTCAAGGGTCTACTATAGGACTGCAACAGATTTAAATCTGCAAGACTTTTTTAGTGGTTACACTGTTACATAGAAGGCTGAAAAAGAACTACAAAAAATTTCACCATTTTAAAATGGTGATTCCCTCATCTACCTCAACATCCAGGTTATCATTAAGGATTGAGAAGAGATAAATAAACTTGATTCATCAAAGCGCACAAATGACAACTAATTTGTTTGCTTTTATTTACCCTAATCATTAAACTTAAAATTTAAATTGAAAAAAAAAAATTTCCAAAAATTTAAAAGCTTTACATTTTTTTGGGTTCATTTTTGTTATAAACCAAAAATTATTTTGTTAATTCATTTGCAAACACAATCATGAGTAAGAGAACAGAGAAAAAGTTTTTTTTTAAATAAGCTAGAATTAATAAATTAATTTGTATTTCAATAATGGGCTTTGCTTGCACAACTAGGTGTTTCAAAACTAATTAATTAGTCATTGCTTTTATTTTATAATTAGCTTTTAACACTTTTGGTTTTGCATTTTAATACATTGATAATTGTTAACCTACTTTACTTAAAAAATTCCGAATTCTAAAAAAGAATACAACTTCTATAATTTTTTAAACAAGACAGCTCATACTAGTCTAAATTTATTTTCCATGATGAACTCCAGAATATTTAGACAATTGTGTTGATTTACTCAGGTATTAATTGGCACCATTAAAATGTACGTCTTCTGCATAAATTCCAGAGAGCTTGCCGGACCTAGAAGTTTGAGAACAAACAACAAATAGAATTAAAATACAACATAATTTACAACAGTAGGTCCAGTTTTGTTTATACGTTAACAATAAAAATTAACAGTGTTGTAGGGAACATGTGAAGGGGGATGAATGGGGTTGAATGTTGTTTGTACTTTGAACCCTGCCCCGTTCGTCGTCGCCCCCCCCCCCCCCCGTGTTTTGAGTTGTGACAGTGACGTAATTATTTGTACCTGTTTGTGTACATGTATATAAGGTATGTGAGAATGTGTATGATGGCCTCAGTCCATCAGCCCAGTACAGAGGCGTAGCGAGGGGGGTGGGGACATATGTCCCCGGGCGCCGACCTTGGGGGGGGGGGGGGCACCAAATTGAAAGTTTGAGAGGGGGGGGATGCAAATGAAAAGTTCGAGGGGGGGGGGGGGTGCAAATGAAAAGTTTGTCCCCGGGAAGGGTCGCTACACCTCTGGTCCAGTATGTTACGTCTACAAGGTTAGTACTTCAAATCAATATCCGCTGTATCTAAGGTTTCGTGTACTAGTTTGTGTATTTAGAATAGCTTGTGTTTGTGTAGACAGTGTCAACGAGTCTTTGTTTTATTTTGCCTTGCGCTGTGTAACCGGTATGTGGTTGTTTGTCTTAGATCTATATGTTGTGCAGCATACTTGATTACACGTAAGGGCGCATCAGTGTGTTCATATCAGTTGTTTGGATGTACAATTACACTAAGGCCAATATATTGCTCTAAAATACATAATGTTCTAAAATGTTATGACACATTTCTTGTGTATTCGTTGAACTGGATTTCCAACAACACAATTAAGAGTTAAGTATCCACATGGTATGGCCCATTTACTCAGACTTTAGCCTTATTTTCTTCAGAATTAGCTTCTATAGCCTTTGTCCATTCAAGAACAAACTAGAAGAAAGCAGTTGTTTGATTTTGGAGATTTCTCTCCTAGATGGGTTGCTGTCCCCAGTAATCAAGCCTCATCTGCCCGATTACAGTTTACAATTTTAACAACCAACCGTTAAAATTAATATCATTTAATTTAAAGCAAAACAAAAAATGTTTTTCTATAAAACTAAAACATAAGGAGAAACAGCTGTAACGTACCTCCTTTTGGCCAAGACAGTGGAAGAAAAGAATTAAGAAGCCCTGGGGAAAAAATGAATTTTATTTATATGTATTACATTTAGGTCTAGATATAGATAGAGCTAAGGAATAAGTACAGATTTAGATGTAGGGTCTTGCTTGACAATAACTTAAGTTAAATACTAGGATCTGTAAATATTAGTATGGAAGCTCTGGCTTTGTGTCACAGGTAGTCCTTACAACACCACAGTAGGGTGGTAAAAGGTTGTCAAGCTATAACTATTTTAACTATTTCACATTAACATATGCTCTGACACACTATTTCACATTAACATACACACTGACACACTATTTCACATTAACATACACACTGACACACTATTTCACATTAACATACACAATGATATACTATTTCACATTGACATACACAATGACACACTATTTCACATTAACATACACACTGACACACTATTTCACATTAACATACACAATGACACACTATTTTTTTTTTATTTGTTGAGAATCTACTCAGGAGCTGACTAAAATAAGTTTTTTTTTATTTGTTGAGAATCTACTCAGGAGCTGACTAAAATAAATGGAAAAAAAAACACCAGAAAAACATTTTTTTTTAAATTGTCTGATAATAAATACCAGTACCTGAGAGCTAGTCACGGCAATGAAAACATACTGTGTGTAGATAGATTTGTCAATAAGAGTGAGGATGCCCACAAACCAGGAAGAGCCTAGGAGACAGGACAAAACCAAAATGGCCCTGAAAGCTGAACTGGAAAAAAAAAGATCATATATAAAATAGATATAAATGTTCTAGGTCTCAACTCTTTCTTCATCAGACCCACACTTTTCTGCGCTGTTGACACAAACAACTATGCTTTATATGCATTTAAATTCAAGAAAATCAATTTATTATTTTCTTTACAGTGCATAAATAAAAACTCAAAATTATAAATTTCTTTAAGTATGTTTATAAAGCAATCATTACTATAAAAAATAATTTAAATCTAATTATGATGACATTAATTTCATATTACAATGTAATAGGATTTTGACCGACGTGTCAAGTTTGAGACCATAAAGTTTGGTAGATTTGGTTGAAGTTTGGTTCTTAAGATCACACCCAGGACTAATGATGTGAGTACAACAGTGGAATCAAGTGAAATATAAACAACTTGTAAAACATTTGTAACAAGCAAGTAAGTCAACAAGTGGACCAAGCAAAAATGTATCAAAATGATTAATACGACACTTCTTGTTTTAATTTGGATATAACATTTTGTGGGCCCTGGAATTTGACGCTTCTTGTTTTGCTTTAGATTTAACAGTCTGTTGGCCCTGGAGTTTGACGCTTCTTGTTTTGCTTTAGATTTAACAGTCTGTGGGCCCTGGAATTTGATGCTTCTTGATTTAATTTAGATATAACATTTTGTGGGCCCTGGAATTTGACGCTTCTTGTTTTGCTTTAGATTTAACAGTCTGTGGGCCCTGGAGTTTGACGCTTCTTGTTTTAATTTGGATATAACATTTTGTGGGCCCTGGAATTTAGGGTACACTTAGCTGTCCCAACTGGTCCCATTTAGATGACAATGATTAGATTACCAGATAAATATGACTGTCCTATTTTTTTCATTGGAGAATGTTTGAAATAAGAGTGCAATATCAAGCCTGCTAGATGTTTTGTTTTTCTAAAGTTTTTATATCTGGTATACAAGGGGTAGCATTGGTTATGGCATATCTTAAGGTTAGGGCTAAGATTAGCAATGACATTGGTTACTTTAATACATTAGTGAGAAGTTTACCATGCATGGTCTGGCATCAGTTACTTATATGGGTAACAAGTTCTTTCAGGCATCTATTGCCTCTCCTGGAGCAAGTCTATTAGTAAGAAGGGGTTACTGGAACCAAGCACCTATTTAAATTTAAGCTCAAAAGCACAGTTGCTTTGTTTTTAAAAAGATTTACATCAAAACTTACGTCGCTCTTTGATAGTGAGATCTATCTCTCATGGCTCTCGTCCTCAGCATTGTGATGATAATGTACACCAAAAT